TATTCTTTGAAAAACAAAAAAATCTTGGATTCACTAGCTAAAAAAATGTCTAGTTAAAGACCATGATATACCATGGTAAGTCAAAACATATTGCTACCAGTGTTCCAGTGCATACACTCACTGATTCATTATAAACAACATGTGTTTAAACATGTCTCTGTGACCAGTGGATGGCTGCAGACAAATTCTTGCATAATACACTTGTCTCTCTGTCTCATTACAGGGCCTTCAAAAAATGTCCAATCAAAACAGTGGCTTCTAAGGGAATCTGCTGGCCCAGTTAAATTCAAGGCAGAAAAGTCAGTCATAGTTATAGAGACTGCAGATAGGAATAAAAAAGGGTAGTCTAGATAGATTTTCGTGAAGGACATACACCAATCATAAGGGATTATTATGAAGAAGTTTTAACAAAACTGAAAAGTACATTGGTGTGAAAAATACCAGGAAAGTTGTGCCAAGGATTTTTTTTTTTTTTTTTTGTATCATAACAAATGTCCCTCCAAAGGTAATGCACCTACAAGGGTAGCAACTGCTGTCCTGTGAGAATTTCATTAGGAAATCTTACACCATCCCCTCTACAGTCCTGAGCTTGCTTGCCCCTTCAGACTTTTGTTATTGTTGTTGTTCCCAAAACTCAAAGAATATTTCAAACAAACAGGATTTGCTATTTTGACGTGGTGTAAATCCAAGAGCAGGCAATTTTTCAGAAAAGGTTTAGAGAGATGAAAACATCACCACCACCATCAGAAATGGACAGACCTAGATGGAGGATATGTAGAGACACAATAGCTTTGCCCTTTGATATTTTTAATAAATGTTTCTTATATTTTGAGTTTCTGTGATTCGCAAAGCTATGCTGCTGATATTTTAAATACCAGCAGGGTCACCCATGGTGGACAGGATTCAGATGAGCTTCCAGACAAAGACAAACTAGGAAAAAAGAGTGACGAACTACTTCCGAATATTTAGTCACTGAAAACCTTATGGATAGCAGAGAGACACTGTCAGATATAGTGCGAGAAAATGAGCCCCTCAGGTTGGAAGGCACTCAAAGTACGACTTGGGAAGAACTGCCTCCTCAAAGTAGAGCTGACCGTGATAACGTGAATGGAGAAAAGCCCACGGGACCTTCATTTGCTGATGGGGCACAACTCAAAATGAAGAGAAACAGCTGTAAAAATGCACTGAAAATCGGAACATGAAATGTATGAAGTATGACTCTGGGAAAATTGGAAGTTGTCAAAAATGAAATGGAATGCATAATCATCTATATCTTAGGCATTAGTGAGCTGAAATGGACTGG